CAGACTGACTTCAAAGGTAAACGGGACCAAAAGTGAGATGGCACGTCGCAACCCAAGACACACTGCGGGTGCGCCGAAACCCGACTTGCTTAGCCAATCTGCCCCACGGGGACAACTAGGGAGGAACCATGGGTGGCTTGCGCCGCACCACCCACAGCTCCATTAACACACCCCATATCCAGTGTAAACCTGAAGGAATATGACCGAGAGGCATGCGGATAGGAGCCAAGTTTCATCAACGGAACCGGTCCATACTACTTCACAGGCAAACACATGCAAGCTGTATTGGGGAATCAAGCGCACACAAGGTCATGGCTGGACCGTAGTCCGCTCCATAATATATGTATGAAACTAATCTTTGAGCCTAACATGGCCACAAGGACCATGCATCCCGTGCCGCCAAGCACCGATCAGTTGTCTAGTGGAACCAGTATGGTTGAGGTAGCGTATCATCCACAGGTAAACACCTTGGCAACATTCACATCAAGGTCAGCCACAGTAGCGATAGAATTTGAAGAAAATAACACCAAAAACTAAACAGTAAATGTGAGGCAGTATAACAGAACAAAGCATATGAAAATGTCCATAAAACCTGATCTAGTGTTAGGGTGATCCTGAGCAAGTAGGTGGATATCGACCGAGGAACAAAGAAAATTACAGAAAAAACGAGTGAAATTAGCAGAGTAGATGCGGATGAACAACAGAACTGAACGAAGAAAATAAACTGGTTTCAGTCAGAACTAGTGTGATGGGGAACCAGCGTAGGTGTTAGTCACTCAAGCTCAACTGCGATGAAGTAGCATAAGATATACAACACCAACCTAAGCACGAGGCCCGACCCTGTCCGCGCCCCGCAGATAACTCACCACAAAACACGCTATCAACAAATAGCCCGATTAGGAGACGACAACAAACACGTCATTGGTGTCGTTTGTGAGTCGACAGTTGAGCCGAGTACAGGATCGGTGGAGGGAACTATAGTCTAGGAAGGCGAGACGAACCAAAAGCACCCAGTTAGGTGGTCAGTGACTTCATTCCCCTCTCCCAAGTCAATTTTGGCCCCCTCTTTCTTTGCGCCATCCGACAACCCGGAAAACAAGACGAGGATCTCCTCGACAAAGCTATCAGCCAAACGATTTGCGAATCAGACGGCAAGAAGATCACCAACCTTCGCAGGCGATCGGGTCGCTATGCAGAGCATTGCGCTCTTCAATTTAACCACCCATATATATATATATATATATATATATCCTCGACAAACGGTGACCAAGAGTATGTACCACATGCCCAAGATGACGCAGGTTATTCAGTGTTAATTGGCGTTCTAATAAATTACTCTGAATAGCACCGCCAAGTACTGATTTGCGCACACAGTCGTGTGGACGCACTGGTGCCGTTCGAGATCACGAATACCTTGCAGAGAATGGACATCAAAGATGTAGACATTTCAGAACGAAGAGATCGAGGATCACTCTAGTAGAAGAAAACGGTACTCGCCATGACCTTTCAAACTGAGGGAACTCCCGTACGTGTCATGAAGTGTTATGTAGCTTTGCTTACAATACTCGATTCAGATAAACTGAACATGATTGGGCGTATGGTGTGGATAGCTGAAATAGCGATTAGAACTGAGCGCGAAGCAGTAAGTGGAAGCCTGGGAGATGATCGCACTCACATGTTCGTCAGTAGTCAACAAGTCGAACATAAGACTCAAATAGGCGACTGTCGGTGCAAGCATGCTCAGGTTGTCCAACAGCGGCCCATGAATGCTGGACTCGAGTTTGGTGTCGTCAGGAAGAGCGACGAGCAAGGACCAGATGGATTCCATGCACTTTCCGTAGGCATGGCTTGTTCGTACCAAAGTGGACGGCCAGAGGGCGTCAGTCACATTTGGTACAGCGTAATCCCCACCGGTAACAGCGTAGATTAGTAGCCGAACTGCGCGTGGTTCGGAGCCAACCTGTGTCTTTGTGCCACCGGAGCCAGGGTGCACGCCCAGCTCCAAGTCCAAGTATTGCTGCAGAGAAAGTTAAAAGCGAATGAAAGTACATGACGACTCAAGTGTGTTAAATAACATAAAATAGTTAGAATGCCAGAAAAGTAATCATGTCTCAAACTGGATAGTTTTAAAAGATACAACTACGATCTGTAGAGGTTAATCAGCATCAATCTACCGTGAGCAGGATGATGATGAGAACAAAACAAGACGGCGTGCTACCAAAAAATTATCGAGTTTATTGAACAGACTGTTCGATCAGTGATACACCATGTGCAGGTAACGGTGGGTACGCAACATCATAACAATGGGAAAGAGTTCAGGAACCTCCAGAGTGACAATAACGCATCAGGCACACCTGAGGTGAAATTTTGTAACGGAAAGGAACAACGCGAAAAAATATATTCACATATCATTCACAATGCACAGGCCGGATGGAACGGTTTGGCAGACCACTGCATCAGTAGAAGGCACTAACCCGAAGTAGTCTGAGACGCGCAGCCAATGTGGGGATGAAAGAATCGGATGATCCTGCCGACGATCTGTTCAAGCTTGAGCAAATGGAGTCCGATGGGATAGGATACGTAGTGAGCGCAGCGTCGAAGATTCGCCTTGACTCCGTAACAAGAGATTCCACATCACATGGATCGGTGTTCTGAGCAATGAGGATAAGTCCGGCTCGCCAAAATCCCATGGCATACGCCTGCCACAATTCCAGGTCCTGTTGGTTCTGGGCTTGAGCCATAATGCTACGGCCACAATGTCGCCAAGTGGAGATAATGGTCTGCATGGAAACAATGAGGAAAATGCAAAAGTAGCCATCAAAGCAATCGGAAGATAAGTGTGAAATGACCGATAACATCACTATAGTACAAGCGGATGGTAAAACCTAATGTGGAGAAGGACACAAAGTCAAATCGGTAAGACTATAAAAACGGTAAGAGAATTCGGAATAAACCCGTAACTTTGTAATCCAAGGGCGCGGGTTCGAGGCTGCGTAGGGATCGAGCAATCTTCGCAGTATCCTTAGGCCACCTGCGACTGTTGGTGGCTGCACGGCAGCGAAGCCCCGGTACTGCGTACCGGCGTACTGCTGATGTCAATAGATTCTAAGGGTAAAGAGACGTTTGACAGGTTTGATTTAAGACTAATAACTGCTCCCACTACCATTTAATAAGAGGAACGCAAAGAGCGTCACTAATACGTTGATGCTTTTTGCTCATGCTTTCCTGTGTGCGAGTATGGACATTGAAAAGGCGCCCAAACCTAAGCAGACGCGAGGATTCGAACACGTGGAGAAAACCCTGCACGTCAATGGATCGGAGTGCAATGCTACAGACCCCTCGTGACAAATAATAGTGAAGCCAACCTAGTTCACAATACATTCGGCTACGTTGGAGCTTGGTATGGAGTAGGGAGAAATCTGCCCAAATCTACCGAACGGCTGACTGTTAATCTCGGCAACGGGCACGACACAGCTCTCATTGGACTGAACCCAACTGCTACGCAAGTTTCACAAAACAGAGTGGCGCGCTGTAATGCAAACTTCGGTATGTGATTTCCACAAATGTGTAAAGTGTTATTACAAGGCTAAGCTGAATCAGCACCGGTTCTCACTATCACTGGACAATTACTCGAAGATGTCTATCGGTTTAGTTATATGGGAAGCTGTACCACCTTTCGGTGGCTTAGAACCGAAAATATTATGTGTATCGCTAAGAACCGTTTGCTTTATCAGTTACTTTCGCTTAAGGAGATGTTAGGAAGGGTTTACGAAGCTGCGGTGAGACCGGTACGCACTGAAATGATTGGAAGGGTTACCGTAGTTGACCACATTTTCAAGATGCTCATGTGTCTGGTTTTGTACGACATGATTTGATACCTCGCGATGCGGCTTCGCCAACAACAAATACAGGCTGAAACAAACCTTTGCAGTCAACTCGTGCGTCTTAATTCCGTCTAAGAGCCGATCCAGCATCACCTGGAAGCGTAATCGGCCAAGGCAAGCGAGCCAATGCGTTTGCACCTCCCTGCTCCATTGTGGGATATGGCTAGCTTGTGTGAGTGCGGCATCCAAAAAACAGCGTCGAGCTCTAACCCACACGTCTTGATGGCCACGCTGCATGCTGGAAAAGTGGTCTTTCGCAGCCATTCCCTCAACCGTAGCTGGAAGGAGATGTTGACTGGCAACAGGAGACAGGTTTTGGCGCTGAATAGGGCCAACAAGGCCCAGGTCGTGCATCAGACGCAGATCTGGAGAGAAGAATGACAGAGAAATATATGGAGGAACCAGAAGATGGAAAGGCATCAGCAGTACGCTGGCATGCCGTACCGATTATACGCTACAACGCGACCACCACCAAGTCGCCCGTACTTACACGGGTTCTAACCGGTGACCGGCTTACAAGGTAAGTGCGAAAGTGTTTCGGCCACTGGTCGACAGCATGCGACCCACAAGGATGGGCATTAAGAATCGCATCCCGTGTACCCGTAAGGCGGCCAAATAAGTACGTGACATCCTTCGAGGTTTAGGTGGAGCCAAGAATGTCAGAAGGACACGAACCCGCAGTTCACACACTTGGAAGCAAACAAAAGGATTTTAGCAACGGGTAACCATGGCAAAAAGTATGGAGAATGCTGGTGGATTGGGTCATACCAGTAATATAAGTTGTTCAATTCGGTTTAACAACTGTAATCCGAATGCCGAGAAGGGTAAATCCAGCTGCTCTAAGTCATAATGTCAGTGCTAATAATAATAATAATAATATTCCGGAGGAATTAGCAAGAAAACAAATTACCAGGTGAAACGTATGTATACATAGAGTACAAAAAATGGATATGGAGCAATAAAAAGCGCGGAAACCAAAGGAAAGTACAACTGAATCAAAAAGGAAACGAAATTTGTTTGTTTTCAGCACGCTGATTTTCAAGTTCCTTTCTTTGCGATGGTTAAAGTAATAAACATGAGAATAAGCAGAATTCTGTTTACGATGCGTGTTAAGCCACTGGAACTCCTCATCTCTGATTATCGTTGTCTGCGGAGCATTGCTGGTATCGAGTGACACCAGCGTGTCAGCAATGATGGTGTGCGTAGGCGGGTATTAGGTAGTGATAATCATACTAGTTCCTTAGAACAACAGATAACACTGAATAAGTTGCGTTGGCTTGGACACGTACTACGTATGCCTGGTCACCGCTTACCGAGGAGGGCCTTGTTTAATCGGCCAGATGCAGGGTGGCGCAAAACTCGAGGTGGACAAAAGTTTACTTGGCAGTGGGAAATGAAGTCACTGACGACCAAACTGGGTGCCGACGGTCCGTTTCGCCTTCCATGCTGGAATCCACGTGACTCGTCTTGTGCTTGGCTCGAGACTTTACAGGACATGGCTCTCAGTAGACACCAGTGGTGCGTCTGATCCCGTATCCTAGTCGGATTGCCTGTTTAAAGTGTGTTTGTTGCTGAGTTATCTGCGGGTTAATAGCTGATTATGACGCGGGGCAGTGAAAGCCGCAAGGAAGCTGTCTCGCCAGCTGTTTGTGACGGTATGTTGTTAACACATGGTGTGGGCGCCTTGACCCTGAATGTTTGCTTAGAGCATTAGGGTTTTTCGGTAAGTCCCTTTTCTTTCCCTGTTATTATTTATCATTCCATAGGTCAGCACGGTTGTATGGCAGCTAAGTATCAGTTCAAATGCCTGATGTACGATTGTTGTTGTTGTTGTTGTTGTTGTTGTTGTTGTTGTTGTTGTTGTTTGGCATCTATGGGTTTCCATCCAGGAATATCTACGGGCCCAAACGGCGGCCAGTCATGACATAAGTGGATTCATGTGCGGTCACCTTGCGATCGCTTCCAGCCTGGTTCTGAACGCGCAAACTGAGCGCGGCGCAGCAAACGCTCAGGCACCATGCATAGGACGTGACTGAGTCATCTCAACTGACGCGACAAAACCAGCTACCATTTCCCAAGACGCGACGTCTAACAGCATCACTGCGAACTCGGTGTTGGTACCACACACAAGAGCGATCCTCGTCAAACAACCGTCGTCAAAAGCAAAAGGAAGGCTCATATCCTACACAATAATTGGCCAAAACGCGCTCCCATATGTAGAGAGGTGGGGAATAAAAGGAGGACTGTAAGAGTGTCACTGACTTCGTGACAGTGTCGTACGCTATAAGATATCCAACCACTGACATGGCTGGTCCCAAGGACTACATTCAAAAAAGCGGCGAAAATCAACTTCACTTGGATTTTTGATGAACCTTAAATGCCCTTTTCTATGTTGTTGAGTGATGCGACCCAGATGTATTGTCGGCAAATGATACATACTGAAGCAACCAACTGGCAGTGATTCGAGTTTTACACCCCTTCGTCGATAAGAGGAACCAGATGGACTGTCGCCAAACATCAAATGACGAACATCGGCCTTACTCACTTGGTTTGCTCACAAGACATGAGTAACAGCTGGTGGTCAAACAAGATCAGCCCTCCACCACCAAAGCTTTTCGTGGCAGGGGGCAAGCCTCAGATGTATCGAATAACACGGACCGCACCACAACGTCGTAACCCCAGTTTCACTAAGCATTTTGCTCATATGCAGCCATGTTTCCAAGTGGATGGGGGAGTTGAGAAGTGGCATAGGCGCAATGAGGCTGGACTTTACCGTGGTGCGATGGTTTGTGTGCCTCAGCGATCCATTGAGCTATGCTGGGTGGTGCTTTTGCACCTTCAGAGTCACTCATACCAGATTGGTCAATGGTTAGAGGCCAGACAAACTCAGCCTCCTGGTCCTCCAGGTTGGGGGTTGGAATGAGGGTGGCTCCTTATTCCTTAAAACGGACTTCCTTGTGGCCCCATGCCAAACCTGCTGCCTTGCGGGAAGGCTTTCGAACCAAAGGCTTTGGTTGAAAACCCTAATCATTCTCCTATCCAGGCCTGGCCAACCTGACAGTATCTTGCCCACGCAATACTATGAATCTTACTTCAAACAATTTCTTGATGCTCTGGCCACCGCAGATGATAATCAACGGTGCCCTCTCTGCTGCATCGAGCAGGGTGGATAGGGGTTTGGATGCTACTGCTCAAGAATTCCCATCTTCCTATTCCCCTCTTAGGTTTTTTCACGCTTATTGTCCTGTTCCAAATTCACTGTCACCTCCCCCCGTTTTCAACCCCCCAATTCTTGGCCCTCCCACCTTGTTTCGATAGACGTTTATTGTCTAGTTTCAATTCACATGAAAACGCCTCGATTGGATCGTCACGACTCCCTGGTTGGGGTCCAAAAGACGATGAACAGTTTGGCCGGATACACTTGCTGACATGACAAGGAGCCGACCTCAGTGGCGTTCGTGTTGTGAGTTTCTTTGTCCCTCCACATCCCTTTTAGCCTCCCCCTCCACCTACGATCTCATTTCGTAGCTTAAGACAATTTTTCTTTTCGCCCAGTAGCCGGCTGGTAGCTCACCGGAACGATGTCTATCCGTTGCTGGTAGCTCACCTGGCATGCAACTGTTGTATTTATTTTCCTTTTCCTTTATGTATTGCGGCACAGTAGCTGAGGTGTTTCCCACCTCTAGCTGACGTGTATAATGAATGAATGAATATAGGCGCAAGAATTGTATGCGGTTACACCTAGTCAGTGATGCTAGCACCAGGGGTGAACAGATAATAAAAATAACAGCAGTCCATGAATTAAACGATTTATGGAAGTTACGCATGTATGCAGCATCAACAAACAGGTGAGTAGGTCTTGTGAAAGATCGGAGTGTGAGAGAGAACGAGAAATGGAATTACAAAGCAAAATGTGCGGGGGATCGACGGAGACGGAAACACCTGAACTGCTGACACGAATGAGGTCTAAAGGTTAACAATCAGGACTCGGCTCTTGGGCACAGCATTCACAATGAAGGTCCATGACGCCTGTACCGCACTCGATTCACGCAATATCTAGATGCAAGTGAGTTAGCGGTGGAACGGTGTCACTTGAGCCATAACAACGGCAAAGTGTACGCTTTAGGCACGCCACGAAATAACAGATGTTCGAAAGGTCATTGTGATTGGCAGAACAGTGGTGAGATCAGAAGTGTGCTATGGGATGTGAGACTATACCCGTAAGGTGAACGCTGCGAAGAGCAAAGTGCAGGGACAAGTTTCTACATACTAACGAAGATCAGGAGCATATCAATACAGTCAACGCACAGTTCACAGATGTATCCAATTGGGTGGCTTGCAGAACAACCTCCTCGTGGTGCCAGCTGGGTGGTTCGGGTTCTTCCCGTTCCAGCGAATGGTTCGGCGGCAGTGTTCCAGGACGTGGTGGATTTTCGCCTGGCAAGCGTTCTCCCTACAAAAAACCACAAATGTCTGTTCAACAACATTGCGACGTGGCGGATGTGACTCACCACTAAATAAAGTCACTGCCCCTTGCCTCTCCCTGAGAGGCATTATACTTCAAGGGTGTGTTGGGCCCCTGGTCATTCATGGACCGAAAGGTGCATGAGCCATCTATTTGGTCACCGGCTCCCAACAGGTTGCGACGCCCTCACATCGCCCTGCTGCCTTGTAGGTTAGATCTTTGATCAAAGGCTCGGGGTTGGGCCCCCTAAGACAACCCTCTACTTCGGCCTGGGCAACGCACCAGGCTCCGAGGGCTGGGCCACGTGTTGCGCATGCCAGCACACCGACTTCCGCGACGTGCATTGTTTCCGCGTTGTGGGTGCGGTTGGAAGAGGATGAGGGGAGGCCAAGTGATGACTTGGTCGAGAGAAATGAAAACCCTCACTTCGAAGTTGGCGTCGGTTGGAGAATGCCGACTGCCTGGCTGGGATCCTAAGGACGGTGAACACGTTTGGTTGGACACACTTGTTGATATGGCTTGGAGCCGGCCCCAATGGCGTTTGTGTTGTGAGTTCCTTTGTTCATCCCCCTCCTGTTTAGCATCCCCCTCCAATCACGATCTCACTTGTTAGGCATAATATGACTCTCTTTTACGGCAGCCAGCTGTTAGCTCTCCGGAACGATGTCCATCCGTTACTGGGGACTCAGCAGGCGTGCCACCGTTTGTTTTTCTTTTCTAGTCTTGTATTGCGGCACAATAGCTGAGGTGTTTTCCACCTCCAGCTAACGTGTAAGGATGGTGATGACGATGATCGGCCTGGGCAACCGGGTAGTATCACGCCGAATCTATGCTAACTCAACTGCTCAACTTTCACTCACAGATCACCCCATCTCCTGTCCTTCACCCACCTGTACTCTTATGTCTTCTACCGTTACCGTCACAAACGACCCACGTCTCGCAACTGGAAGCAACAGCCAAACTCTCGGTTTTCAACGTCCTGTGCTCGCAACCGCCTCTCACTCCACCGAAGCTCCAGCTCTTCTTCGACCTGATTCTCCATTCATCCTCGCAGCGTTTAATGTTCGAACTTTGATACAGATCGGACGACAAGCATGCCTGACCCGTACTCTTGAAACGCTATCGGTAGACATCTGTTGTCTTCCATAGACCAGATTACGAGATTAGCGCCGTCATTAGAATAATCTCTCCGGTAAGCCCTGGCGCCAAATACCACTTGCGGCTTTCCGGAGACCCAGAAGCTGCCGCCTTTGGCCAAGCTGGTATTGGGGTTGCACTGAGTGCCAGGGATGAATCAGCTCTGTTTGACTGGATCCCAGTCAACAAATGGGTATATGCAGTCAGACTACGAGGTTCATGTAATATAAACAGGCGTCGAGATGTTAAGCGTGTCTTGTTTGTCGTCTCCACCTACGCCCGCACATAATGCAGCCCAGGGTGCATTCAAGGATAGCTCTTAACAACAGCTACATGAAGTTCTGCGTTCCTCCAAAAGGACTGATGTAGTCAGTCTTACCGGAGACTTTAACGCACGGTTTGGCCGCCTTCCACCAAGCAAGCACCACCTTGGGGGTAGTTTTGATCTCGGTGGCAGGCGATCAGCCAATGGAGACAGACTGCTTGCTCTTTGCTCTGCTCATCGCTTGTTGCTTTCGTGCACTAGTTTTCGGCACTCGAGGAGACACTGCTACGTGGCGCCCGCCCTCACAAACGCAGGAGTGCTCCCAGCTTGACCACATAGCAATCAGCTACAGATGGCGCGGAAGCGTAACGGACTGCCGATCGTACTGGTCAACTTATGCAGACTTCGGTCACTTGTTGGTTCGTACTGATTTGCATGCGTTTCGGAGGATCACCCAAGTGCGCTCACTGCCGACCGGACGTCGCAAATCGACAAAACTCAGCGCTTTTAACCGGGTACCAAGCCTCACTGTCAACCTTGCTTGGCTCAACTACTGACGGTGACCTCGATTCGCAGTGGGCACAGATCAAAGATGCCTTAGTTTCCGCCAGTATCGACGCTTGTGGAGTTGCCAGTCACCAACCGAAGAATTGGATTTCCGCCGTCTCCTTGTCGCTGATAGACAAACACCGTTTGATCCCCTCGTATTCCAGCCACAGTGAAGAACGCCTATCCCTGGGTCGAGAGTTGCGTAGGAGTCTGCAAATGGACCGCGAAGCTTGGTGGTGTAAACGAGCTAGGGAGATGGAGCTTGCTAGTCTCTCTCTTAATAACAGAAAACTTTTCCACTTTATTCGAGTCACCAAAGATATTCGAGCTGGTATAAGTGAAACAATATGCGAAGAGGATGGCACCTTAATCACCAATCTTCCACGACGGTTGGAGCGATGGGCCGAATATTTTGGCTTGCAGCTCCATCAGCTACCACTGGCACTCGCGCTGGGGCCGAGTGGTCTACCCCCACAGATACTCCCTCTTTAGCAGAAAATCGAACAGAAGCTCCGCCACATTAAGCGTTATAAAGCCTCCGGTCGTGCTGGTCTTCCTCCAGCTCTATTTAAAGATGGTGGCGCTTCGCTGGTTTGAGAGCTCACTGATTTGTTTTCGAAAGTTTGGTCGCAAGAAATTTCCATCATCTTGGGGTGAATCGATAGTCGTCCCCATCTTCGAAAAGGGCTTGCGCACAATCTGCTCCAACTACAGAGGAATAAGCTTAGTCCCCATCACTTGAAAGCTGCTGGTGTCCATCATACTTCACAGGCTATCACCAACGAGCGAATCGTTGCAGCGAGAAGAACAGCTTGGATTTCGCCCTGGTCGCCGCTGCATCGATAAAATCACACTCCGCTAGATCCTCCAGCTCCGCCATGTATATCAGAGGCCAACAATTGCTGCGTTCATGGATATCCGTGCAGCCTTCGATTCTGTCAATCGAACGGTACTGTGGTACTGCCTACTGAGGAATGGCGTACAGGAGAAGTTCCTCTCCATACTGCGCGCTCTCTATGGGCAGAGTAATGGCTTATGGCAAGCTTTCGCCTACCCTTGTGGTCTCCAGTGGAATTCGACAAGGATGCTTTATCTCTACATTCCTATACAACTTTGCCATTGAGGATGTCCTAAAGAACGCTCTGAGCGATTCGTTGAACGTTGGCGTTGAGCTAATCCCAGGTAGTCGAGTTGTTGATTTTAATTATGCTGATGATATCGTCTTGCTGGGTGAAGATCCACACGTCGTCCAACTTGCACTAAACCGCTTGGCGATTGAAGCATCAAAGCATGGTAGGTACTTTTCGCCATCCAAATGCAAGGCTCTCCTCCAAGACTGGCAGGTACCTCTGCCTGCACTCATTCTTGCTGGTGAGACAATAGAGGTTGTGGAGAGCTTTGTCTACTTGGGAAGTTGCATCACTGCTGGCGGAGCTGTTGGAGACGAGATTTCGATGCGCATCTCGAGAGCAGGCCTCGCTTTTTCTAGGCTGAGGCACTTGTGACGTCGCCACGACATTTGTCTCTTCATCAAAGAGTGAGTCTATTGTGCAACTGTTCGTGTTGTGCTGTTGTACGGATGCGAGACCTGGCCCATTCGTAAAGATGACTTGCGCAGGCTATCCGTCTTCGGGCACGGCTATCTGCAGTCCATTGCCCGTGTGTGGTGGCGGCACCAACTAAGCAATGTGGAAGTTAGACAGCGTGTCTTTGGACGAGGAAGCCATTCGCTTGAGGAGCTCGTCTCATTGCATCAACTGCGGTGGCTGGGACACGTATTGTGCATGCATGTCCAGTGTTACCCCCGTCGTGCGTTGTTTGCCGTTGCTGGACAGGGCTGGAAGAGACGGTGTGGTGGACAGCCTACAACATGGAGAAGCCGCATGAAAAAGCTGACGAAACAGTTGGCCTCGGCCGGTTGTTGTCGACTACCTGCTTGGGGTCCGAGAGATGCGGATATTTGCTGGTTGAAGACCTTGGAAGCCATGGCTCAAGATTGATGTCAATGGCGGACGTGTGCATCCGTGTCCCACTATCCTCCCCCTAAAAAACGAAAAAATTTTCAAAACGGTGAGTGGTAAACTGGAAAAATAGCTTTGGTTGTTGTTGTTATCCTTTTATTATTCACACTGATTTCCTATTCAGCCATGATTACGATGGCACAATGTACTTACCACACACACACACACACACACACACACACACACACACATATATATATATATATATATATAAACCAATTTACACTTAAACTAGGTCTTTTTAATGTGGATAAAATTCATTACATGTTATTTGGTGTGTTCTACGTACTTGATAATCTTCTCGTTACTTGAACACGTCGCTCATGCAAAGTGTGGCAAACTTGCGTAATTTTATCGTGTGGTTTTTTTAAATAACTTTCGGACATTGTGTACTTATCACGGATTCACTTATAACCAATTTCTTCTATATACTCATTTAGCGAGTACTTATGTCGTCATATGCGTTTACTTTATTGGATATCGGCATTTCGAGTGGTTGGCTGTTGTTTGACATCCCAGGTGTGGCTGCGCTTGATGTGCATGTTGACAAGGTGCCTACCTGTCTATTACCCACTACCTCGTCCATACTGGCTCCAGGAGACAGTTGGTCGTTACTGGAGGGGATGGGGTGCACGGTCCTTGTGGTCGTGCTAGGCTCGAAGAGTGATTCCATGCACTCAGTATGGAGCGGACTACGGTCCAGCCACCGCCTTCTGTGCGGTTGATTCCCCAAATACAGCGTGCTTGCGTTTGTCTGTGAAGGAGTGTGGGTCGGCTCCGTTGATGAAACGTGGCTCCCATTTGCATGCCTCCCGGTCTTATTCATTCGGTTTTACACTGGATATGGGGTGTGTGGTTGGAGATGTGGGTGGTGCAGCGCAAGCCATACATGGTCCCTCTAGGCGCAGGCGTCCTGTGGCTGGCCACAGTGACAAGCAAATCCGAAACCGGATGCCGCCAAACATATATATATATATATATATATATATATATACATATATATATATATGTTTGGCGGCATCCGGTTTCGGAGTTGCTTGTCACTGTGGC